CGTGACACACGGAGACACGGTGACACACTGAGACACACGTGACACACGGAGACACACGTGACACACGGAGACACACGGTGACACACGGAGACACACGTGACCACACGGAGACACACGGTGACACACGGAGACACACGGTGACACACGTGACACACGGAGACACACGGTGACACACTAAGACTCACGGTGACTCACTAAGACTCACGGTGACTCACGGTGACACACTAAGACTCACGGTGACACACGTTTATATTTGTCCTTTATATTTGTCCGCGTGTAGAAGAAGCAGGCAGCGATGATGCATCTGCTGAGCGTCGTGGATGTGGAGAAAGCACGAATCTTACGCTACCAGGGACGCGTACCCGAGGGTAAGACGGGCTACACGGAGAGACGGTGAAGGACGCGGGGAGCTGCGGCCGAGTAGCGGATTTGACGTGTTGGCGAGGACTCAGGGTGACGTCGGGGAGAGAGGACTCGAGCGGTAGACACGACACGGGGACGGCAGAGGAGGTGTTGGGGCAAGGCAGAGACGTGGAGGGGAGGACATGGAAGGAGACTGGGGCACAGGGGGCTACAGATAGATGGAGACACATGGCGGGGGGGGGGGAGAAGGGGACTCTGTGTACGTGACGGTGAGTGGTTCCCCCTGGCACATGGACGCAGGCAAGTCTCCGCACGCCCTGCAGGGCTGTGTTCGCAGCGTTCCTGGTGAATGTGGCCACGGCATTTGCCGTGGTGGTGAACGTCGTCCTGGTGATTGTGGCCATGGCGTTTGCCGGGCTGTGTTCGCAGCGTTCCTGGTGAATGTGGCCACGGCGTTTGCCGTGGTGGTTAACGTCGTCCTGGTGAATGTGGCCACGGCGTTTGCCGTGGTGGTGAACGTCGTCCTGGTGAATGTGGCCACGGCGTTTGCCTTGGTGGTTAACGTCGTCCTGGTTGTCGTGGTGGTGGTGGTTGTGGTGGTTAACGTCGTCCTGGTTGTGGTGGTGGTGGTGGTTGTGGTGGTTAACGTCGTCCTGGTTGTGGTGGTTGTGGTGGTTGTGGTGGTGAACGTCGTCCTGGTGGTTGTGGTGGTTGTGGTGGTGAACGTCGTCCTGGTGAATGTGGCCACGGCGTTTGCCTTGGTGGTTAACGTCGTCCTGGTTGTGGTGGTGGTGGTGGTTGTGGTGGTTAACGTCGTCCTGGTTGTGGTGGTTGTGGTGGTTGTGGTGGTGAACGTCGTCCTGGTGGTTGTGGTGGTTGTGGTGGTTGTGGTGGTGAACGTCGTCCTGGTGAATGTGGCCACGGCGTTTGCCTTGGTGGTTAACGTCGTCCTGGTTGTGGTGGTGGTGGTGGTGGTGGTTGTGGTGGTTGTGGTGGTTAACGTCGTCCTGGTTGTGGTGGTGGTGGTGGTTGTGGTGGTTAACGTCGTCCTGGTTGTGGTGGTGGTTGTGGTGGTTGTCCCCGAAGGCTGCAGCGGCTCCACACAGCAGGCGCTGTGCTCCATGCCGGGCTACACGCCGCTCTCCCTGCTCAAGAAGAAGCGGCGCGTACCCACGCAGCCCGCACGGGTGATGGACGCGCCGGGCGTCCGCAATGACTTCTGTGAGATACGCGCACGCACAAAGATAAAGGTCCCCCGTGTGGCCTTAACAGACTGCAGGGGCAAGTGCTGTTAGCGAGCACCTGTGAGGGCCGACACGGCACACGAGGGGGTGGGTGGCCGGCACCACGCCCGGCCGCCTTTGTCTCCCCGGTGACGATGTTTACGCACCGCGCCGGGTGCTCGTTTGAGGCTGAGTCTACCTAGGGGAGGCTCGGGACCGGTTCAGATAATCGTCAGCGGTGTTGGCCGTGAGCGGGAATCGAACCCGTGTCGCCGGGTTCATAGCGCAGCGTAGTCCTAACCGCTACACTACCACACGCACACACGCAGGCACACACACGCACACGTACACACAGCTTCAAATAGAAATATATCCACGAGTGAAACTTACCGGCTTCAGCCCGCTGAGCTATTCACTTATTTCTCAGCGGCAACGTGGCCACAAATGGCAGCGCAACAAAGCGGCTCCTCATCACGTGGGACTTTGTATCGGCCACATGAACACGTTGAGATACGAGTGGCCCACAATCCAGACCGCTGGTCTCCCACGTGCCCACCCTGACCCATTGCTAAGGCCGCAATGCTGAGATGGCGTCCACGCGATGCGTCAACGCGGAGCTAGTTTGGCGTTGTGCTTCACATTGTGTGCGTGCCCGTGTTTGTTCGCCACAACGAGGCCACTGGCGTTCTACCCGTGCATTCTACAGTTGTCCTGCACGGTATCCACGCCGCAGCCTGCGACACCACCGCCTTTCACCGCCACAACTAAGTGATTATATCTCGACCTTCCCTGAGTCGCAAAACCGGCATCATATAAAATCTGTATTTACCCACGTGTACACGTATACACACACGATACAAATGTCATCCTGAACTTAAAGTGTTCACCCTTATCGTGACCTGTGACCCCACACCGCCGTGCGCACAGACCTCAACGCGCTGGACTGGAGCGTGGACAACGTGGTGTGCATGGCGCTGGGCCGCCTGGGGACGTTCCTGTGGGACGCGGCAACGGGGACTGTGACCCAGCACATGGAGGCCTGCAACGAGGTACTGCAACACAAATACAAAGTTCCCCCCCCCCCCATGTAGCCTTCACATACTTGTGGGGCAAGAGCTGTTAGAGAACACTGGCATGGCACACCAGGGGGGGGGCGGGTGACCAGCACCAGACTTGGCCGCCTTTGTCTCCCCGTGGGTGATGAGAACCAGGTGCTCATTGGATGTGGAGTCCACTTAGGGGAGGAGGCGCACGATTGGTTCAGACAATTGTCACTTGTCTTCGTTTGGAGCTTTCGTGACTGCAGGAATTACTCTTTGGTTCACCACGCATCGTCCTCCCCATTGACATGCTCATTTTTTCTCTAACCCCCTCCCTCTCTCCGCCCCCGCCCCCCCCTCTCTCTATTTAAGGCCTCGTCACAGAGACGTTCTCTCTCTGTGTGCCGATGTGTGTTGCCCTCTCTCTATGTATCTTGGTGATATCTGTCTGCTAATATGTCTGTCTATAGTTTTCTGGTTAGATTTTTGTTGCTATTTCTTTTGTACCTGATGACGGCGATTGCTTGTGTTGCAATCGAAACGTCGTATGCTATTATTTAATTTATTATTTTATCTTTACACGTGACTTTAGCGAAAGAACCAAAGAGTAATTGTCACTTGTGTTAACGGCGAGCGGGAATCGGACTTGGGTCGCCCGCTGGGTTTATCACGCAGCCCGCCAATCGCTGCACGACCAGACACGCGGAGACGCTGGCATGCAGACACGCACCGACGAATGGAGAACATGCTTTGGTTCTTTCGGTAAAGTCACGTATAAAGATAAAATAATAAAATAAATTAAATACTAGCATACGACGTTTCGATTGCAACACAATCAATCGTCATCAGGTATAAATTAAATAGAAACACAAATCTAGTATACTTTGAAATGTAATGTAATACAACAGAGAGTCGGATAACATAACAGTCAACACCCCACCTGGTTGATTACGTTCTTCCTGAGAATGCTAAATTTGAGAGAGAGATAAAACACAGAACCAGAGACATCTAGACAGACATATAAGCAGACAGATATCACAGAGATACACAGAGAGAGACACACAGAGCGAGACACACAGAGCGAGACACACAGAGCGAGACACAGAGAGAGAGACACAGAGAGAGACACACAGAAACACCCACAGAGAGAGACACACAACATAGACACACAGACAGACATATAAGTAGAGACAGATATCACAGAGATACATAGAGAGAGACAACACAGAGACACACACAGAGAGAGACACACAACATAGACACACACACAGACATATAAGTAGAGACAGATATCACAGAGATACATAGAGAGAGACAACACAGAGACACACACAGAGAGAGACACACAACATAGACACACACACAGACATAAGTAGACAGATATCACAGAGATACATAGAGAGAGACAACACAGAGACACACAGAGACACACACAGATAGAGACACACAACATAGACACACAGACAGACATATAAGTAGAGACAGATATCACAGAGACACGTAGAGAGAGACAACACAGAGACACACAGAGACACACAACATAGACACACAGACAGACATATAAGTAGAGACAGATATCACAGAGACACGTAGAGAGAGACAACACAGAGACACACAGAGACACACAACATAGACACACAGACAGACATATAAGTAGACAGATATCACAGAGACACGTAGAGAGAACAGGCTCGTTTGTGGATGCATGGGGATACGGGGGGGGGGCAGTGTTGTTGTGTTCTTGTGCAAAGCCGGCGGAGTGCCGTGAAGCAGCACACGCACGCCGGCAGCTTGAGCGTGAGAGATGCGTGTACACCGTGTGTCTCTGCCCGTGTCAGATGGAGGGGCGGTACTACCCCTCGTCCGTCTCGTGGGTACCAACCAGCGGCAACTTCCTCGCCATAGGAACCAGCTTCAACACCGTGCAGGTAATGAGCACAGCATTCTGGGGTACGGGGTGGAGAGCAGAGGATTCTGGGATATTTCAAGGAGCAGGGCATTGTGGAAGGCGGAGTGTGGAGCGAGTGACCGGTACGGGAGACGGGGTGAATGGGGAACTTGCCAAAAATATAAGACTTCTGGGATAAGGGGTGGAGAGCAGAGGATTCTGGGATATTTCAAGGAGCAGGGCATTGTGGAAGGCGGAGTGTGGAGCGAGTGACCGGCACGGGAGACGGGGTGAATGGGGAACTTGCCAAAAATGTGAGACTTCTGGGGTACGGGTTGGAGAGCAGAGGATTCTGGGAAGTGAGCAGGTGGGCTTTGTATCGGCGCCGTGACTTGTGCGTCCTTGCGTGGGTCTCTATGGTGGTGCGTGTGTGTGTGTGTTTCTATGGTGGTGCGTGTGTGCATGTGTAAGTGTGTGTACGTGTGTGTACGTGTACGTGTGTGTGTGTGTACGTGTGTGTGTGTACGTGTGTGTGTGTGTGTACGTGTGTGTGTGTGTGTGTAGTGTGTGTGTACGTGTGTGTGTACGTGTGTGTGTACGTGTGTGTGTGTACGTGTGTGTGTGTACGTGTGTGTGTGTACGTGTGTGTGTGTGTACGTGTGTGTGTGTACGTGTGTGTGTGTGTGTACGTGTGTGTGTGTGTTTGCACGCGCAGATCTGGGACGTGGAGCGCCGCAAGCGTCTCAGGAGCCTGTCGGGTCACGTGGGGCGTGTGAGCTCCCTGTCCTGGAACGGACACCTCCTGGCAAGGCAAGTGCTTGGGCGCACACCGCACACTTTGCCGTGGTGAGCGCTGCGGTGAACGCCGGCGTCGTGGTGACGGCTTTGGCTCTCGACTTGGGTGAGATCCAGCACCTCGGTGTGCGGGTGGAGACACGCTGCATCGCCGTTCCTTACTCTTAGGTTTTTTGGGTAAAGTCACTTAAATAGACACTCCAAGCCTGGGGTGTGTCATTCAGACGCTGTCTTCTCGACAGACCTGTTTTTTCATCTGAGGACGGCTGCTTGCGTTGTGGCCGAAACGTCGTGAGAATTGTTTTATTATGTTTTATTTTTATTATTTTATTACTTCCCTTCTACGTGACTTTACCGAAAGAACCAAGAAGATAAAGTCACGTAAGTAAAAAATTATAATAAAATAAAATAATAATAAATGAAAATAAATAAAATATTTTTTTCACAATATTTTCACCGACGTGGCTTTACCGAGAAAACCTACGAGTATGAATCCTTGCAGTCACGACAGCTTCACATCTAGAATCACTGCCGTTCCTTGTTGTTGTTTGTTTTTGTCGTCAACTCTGCGGTCGCGGCGGCTGCTGCTGCAGTGGGTCCCGCTCGGGAGAGATCCGCCAGGACGACGTGCGGGTGGCGCGGCATCACGTGGCCTCGCTGAGCGGCCACGCGCGGGAGGTGTGCGGCCTGGCCTGGTCCCCCGGCGGACGCCTGCTCGCCAGCGGAGGCGACGACAACAGGCTCCTCGTGTGGGCCAGCGGCAGCACGTCCCCGGCACCCCTCCACTCCCTCAAGGAGCATACGGCCGCCGTGAAGGCAGGGACGCGCACGCACGCACGCGGTGGTGACACCACGCACGCGGCGGTGACACCACGCACACGGTGACACCACGCACACGGTGACACCACGCACACGGTGACACCACACACACAGTGACACCACGCACACAGTGACACCACGCACACAGTGACACCACACACACAGTGACACCACGCACACAGTGACACCACACACACGGTGACACCACACACACAGTGACACCACACACACGGTGACACCACGCACACAGTGACACCACGCACACAGTGACACCACACACACAGTGACACCACGCACACAGTGACACCACACACACGGTGACACCACGCACACAGTGACACCACGCACACAGTGACACCACACACACAGTGACACCACGCACACAGTGACACCACGCACACAGTGACACCACGCACACGGTGACACCACGCACACGGTGACACCACGCACACAGTGACACCACACACACGGTGACACCACGCACACAGTGACACCACGCACACAGTGACACCACGCACACAGTGACACCACGCACACAGTGACACCACGCACACAGTGACACCACGCACACAGTGACACCACGCACACGGTGACACCACGCACACAGTGACACCACACACACAGTGACACCACACACACAGTGACACCACGCACACAGTGACACCACACACACAGTGACACCACGCACACAGTGACACCACGCACGCAGTGACACCACGCACACAGTGACACCACGCACACAGTGACACCACACACGCACGCGGTGGTGACACCACGCACGCACGACGGACGCGTCGAGCCGGTCGCTGTAACGGCCGCCGAGTAGCGGAGACGTCGTTCGTCTGGAAAAAAAAACCAAAATGGCGCAGAAACGTATAGAAAGCACAGATTGGACCTTGTGCAGTTTGCAGGTCACGTGGAGTGTTGGAGGCTTGCTGGACAGGTCCGAGGGGTTACGGGTTAACTTAGAACTGGAGGATGGCTCAGCTGCCCTCCCTCCCGCCCCCACCGCTTGGGCCGGCGTGCCACGTTGTGCCCGCCGAGCCGCGCGACGCACACCGACACGCGACCTCCATGCGGCTCGTGAGCGCTCGATTCCCGGCCACGGCTAACGCCGCTCGCCTTCCACGCCGACCTGCCGCGGTGTCTGAACACCCATCGGCAACGGGGGGACTAAGGCGGCGGCGGCGGGCGGCGCGATGTGCCGTGCTCGAGCCAGTCGGCGTGCGGCGTTGGCACCGGCCTCAGCGATCCGAGAGGGCGAATGAAGAGTGTCTGTCCGCGTCGTTGTGCGTCTCCTCGTGTGCAGGCGCTCGCGTGGTGCCCCTGGCAGGCGAGTTTGCTGGCGAGCGGAGGTGGAAGGAACGACCACCACATCCGCCTGTGGAATGTCAACACGGGAGTCTGCTCCAAAGCAGTGGACGTTGAGTCTCAGGCACGGACACGCACACACGGGGGGGGGGCGGGGGGGCGAGAATGGGGGGCGCGAGACGCAATAGCGGCATCTCGGTGCCGTGAGCGTTGCGTGCAGTGATGGGTTTTTACCCTTTGATCTGGTACAGGAACTGACAGCATGTTTGCAATAACCACAACACAAGCAGGCAAAATGCAAACAGAAATTAACAACTCTGATGATGATATGCACTGTCCTTGAAGTTGATTGGTCCACACCCGAGACAGCTTTTCTTAGAACCTAGTCTTCATTGGTGTTGGACCAGATGACGCCAAAAGGCGTACAACTCAAAAACATGATGCCTTGTATACAACTCAAAGACAGCGCACTATCAGAGTATTGAGAGCTCGGGGTAAGCATTTACACTATGAGACGTCTCCTTTGCCAGTGGCAAAATATAGTTTCTTTTAGTTTGCATTGTGACTGCTTGTGTTGTGGTTATTGCAAACAAGATGCCTTGTATAAAGGTGTCAGTTTTTGCACCAGTTGACGGGGTAAAACCCCATCACTATATTTTGCCACTGGTAAAGGAGATGTCTCATAGTGTAAATGCTTCACCCCGAGCTCTCATACTCTGATAGTGCACTGTGTTTGAGTTGTACGCCTTTTGGCGTCATCTGGTCCAACACCAATGGAGACTAGGCTCTAAGAAAAGCTGTCTCGGGTGTGGACCAATCAACTTCAAGGACAGTGCATATCATTACCATCATGAGAGTTGTTTCTTTTAGTTTGCATTTTGACTGTTTGTGTTGTGGTTATTGCAAGCATGATGCCTTGTATCAAGGTGTCAGTTGAAAGTGTAAAACCCCATCACTATATTGTGCCACTGGTAAAGGAGATGTCTTGCAGTGTAGACGTTGCGTGTCTCGCGCACGGAGACACGTACAGAGACGCGTGCTCACGACACACACACAGACGTGTGCTCATGACACACACACAGAGACGCGTGCTCACGACACGCACACAGACGCGTGTTCACGACACACACAGAGACGCGTGTTCACGACACACACACAGAGACGCGTGCTCACGACACGCACACAGAGACGTGTGCTCACGACACACACAGAGACGCGTGCTCACGACACGCACACAGAGACGCGTGCTCACGACACGCACACAGAGACGCGTGCTCACGACACACACACAGACGTGTGCTCACGACACACACAGAGACGCGTGCTCACGACACGCACACAGAGACGCGTGTTCACGACACACACAGAGACGCGTGTTCACGACACACACACAGAGACGCGTGTTCACGACACACACAGAGACGCGTGCTCACGACACACACAGAGACGCGTGTTCACGACACACACAGAGACGCGTGCTCACGACACACACAGAGACGCGTGCTCACGACACACACAGAGACGCGTGTTCACGACACACACAGAGACGCGTGTTCACGACACACACAGAGACGCGTGCTCACGACACGCACACAGAGACGCGTGCTCACGACACACACAGAGACGCGTGCTCACGACACACACAGAGACGCGTGTTCACGACACACACAGAGACGCGTGCTCACGACACGCACAGAGACGCGTGTTCACGACACACACAGAGACGCGTGTTCACGACACACACAGAGACGCGTGTTCACGACACACACACAGAGACGCGTGCTCACGACACACACAGAGACGCGTGCTCACGACACACACAGAGACGCGTGCTCACGACACACACAGAGACGCGTGCTCACGACACGCACACAGAGACGCGTGCTCACGACACACACAGAGACGCGTGCTCACGACACACACAGAGACGCGTGCTCACGACACACACAGAGACGTGTGCTCACGACACACACAGAGACGCGTGCTCACGACACACACAGACGCGTGCTCACGACACACACAGAGACGCGTGCTCACGACACACACAGAGACGCGTGCTCACGACACACACAGAGACGTGTGCTCACGACACACACAGACGTGTGCTCACGACACACACAGACGTGTGCTCACGACACACACAGACGTGTGCTCACGACACACAGAGACGCGTGCTCACGACACACACAGAGACGCGTGCTCACGACACACACACAGAGACGCGTGTTCACGACACACACACAGAGACGCGTGCTCACGACACACACAGAGACGTGTGCTCACGACACACAGAGACGCGTGCTCACGACACACACAGAGACGCGTGCTCACGACACACACAGAGACGCGTGCTCACGACACACACACAGAGACGCGTGTTCACGACACACACAGAGACGCGTGCTCACGACACACACAGAGACGCGTGTCACGACACACACAGAGACGCGTGTTCACGACACACACAGAGACGCGTGCTCACGACACACACAGAGACGCGTGTTCACGACACACACAGAGACGCGTGTTCACGACACACACACAGAGACGCGTGTTCACGACACACACAGAGACGCGTGTTCACGACACACACAGAGACGCGTGCTCACGACACACACAGAGACGCGTGTTCACGACACACACAGAGACGCGTGTTCACGACACACACAGAGACGCGTGCTCACGACACACACAGAGACGCGTGTTCACGACACACACAGAGACGCGTGCTCACGACACACACAGAGACGCGTGTTCACGACACGCACAGAGACGCGTGTTCACGACACACACAGAGACGCGTGCTCACGACACACACAGAGACGCGTGCTTCACGACACACACAGAGACGCGTGCTTCACGACACACACAGAGACGCGTGCTCACGACACACACAGAGACGCGTGTTCACGACACACACAGAGACGCGTGCTCACGACACACACAGAGACGCGTGCTCACGACACACACAGAGACGCGTGCTCACGACACACACAGAGACGCGTGCTCACGACACACACAGAGACGCGTGCTCACGACACACACAGAGACGCTGTTCACGACACACACAGAGACGCGTGCTCACGACACACACACAGACGTGTCTCACGACACACACAGAGACGCGTGCTCACGACACACACAGACGTGTGCTCACGACACACACAGAGACGTGTGCTCACGACACACACAGAGACGTGTGCTCACGACACACACAGAGACGTGTGCTCACGACACACACAGAGACGTGTGCTCACGACACACACAGAGACCGTGCTCACGACACACACAGAGACGCGTGCTCACGACACACACAGAGACACGTGCTCACGACACACACAGAGACGCGTGCTCACGACACACACAGAGACGCGTGCTCACGACACACACAGAGACGTGCTCACGACACACACAGAGACGCGTGCTCACGACACACAGACGCGTGCTCACGACACACACAGAGACGCGTGCTCACGACACACACAGAGACGCGTGCTCACGACACACACAGAGACGCGTGCTCACGACACACACAGAGACGTGCTCACGACACACACAGAGACGCGTGCTCACGACACACACAGAGACGTGCTCACGACACACACACAGACGCGTGCTCACGACACACACAGAGACGCGTGCTCACGACACACACAGAGACGCGTGCTCACGACACACACACAGAGACGCGTGTCACGACACACACAGAGACGCGTGCTCACGACACACACAGAGACGCGTGCTCACGACACACAGAGACGCGTGCTCACGACACACACACAGACGCGTGCTCACGACACACACAGAGACGCGTGTCACGACACACACACAGAGACGCGTGCTCACGACACACACAGAGACGCGTGCTCACGACACACACAGAGACGCGTGCTCACGACACACACAGAGACGCTGCTCACGACACACACAGACGCGTGTTCACGACACACACAGAGACGCGTGTTCACGACACACACAGAGACGCGTGCTCACGACACACACAGAGACGCGTGTTCACGACACACACAGACGCGTGTTCACGACACACACAGAGACGTGCTCACGACACACACAGAGACGCGTGTTCACGACACACACAGAGACGCGTGCTCACGACACACACAGAGACGCGTGTTCACGACACACACAGAGACCGTGCTCACGACACACACAGAGACGCGTGTCACGACACACACAGAGACGCGTGCTCACGACACACACAGAGACGCGTGCTCACGACACACACAGAGACGCGTGTTCACGACACACACAGAGACGCGTGCTCACGACACACACAGACGCGTGTTCACGACACACACACAGAGACGCGTGCTCACGACACACACAGACGTGCTCACGACACACACAGAGACGTGCTCACGACACACAGAGACGCGTGTCACGACACACACAGAGACCGTGCTCACGACACACACAGAGACGCGTGCTCACGACACACACAGAGACGTTCACGACACACACAGAGACCGTGCTCACGACACACACAGAGACGCGTGCTCACGACACACACAGAGACGCGTGTTCACGACACACACAGAGACGCGTGCTCACGACACACACAGAGCGTGCTCACGACACACACAGAGACGCGTGTTCACGACACACACAGAGACGCGTGCTCACGACACACACAGAGACGCGTGCTCACGACACACACACAGAGACGCGTGCTCACGACACACACAGAGACGCGTGTTCACGACACACACAGAGACGCGTGCTCACGACACACACAGAGACGCGTGCTCACGACACACACAGAGACGCGTGCTCACGACACACACAGAGACGCGTGTCACGACACACACAGAGACGCGTGCTCACACACACACAGACGCGTGCTCACGACACACACAGAGACGCGTGCTCACGACACACACAGAGACGCGTGTCACGACACACACAGAGACGCGTGTCACGACACACACAGAGACGCGTGCTCACGACACACACAGAGACGCGTGCTCACGACACACACAGAGACGCGTGCTCACGACACACACAGACGCGTGCTCACGACACACACAGAGACGCGTGCTCACGACACACACAGAGACGCGTGCCACCACACAGAGACGCGTGTCACACACACACAGAGACGCG